GGTTGGATGATCGTTCACCTCTGCTTAGGCATGTGAACGTGAGGCCAGCAGTCAAGCTAGTCGGCTTTGGCTCTAAGAGGGCTGTTACGCCACGGATTTAATTTAATTTTTAATTCTCGGCGTCATTACTATAGGAACAGACATGGTGAACTTTATACTTTATTATTCGAACATTATCGGTTATTAGCAGACATTTGACCGCTGTACATGTGATTGTAGGAACGGAGAGCTGGTGGTGCGTTCGTCCAGAGTTACTCCCACGTGGGACGGGCGTACTGCGCGCCTGGAAATTGAAAATCTGGAAATGGAGGACTCAGGCATGTACACGTGTGTGGCTGAAAACGAAGTGGGGAAGACGCGATGTTCGGCCAGATTAGTTGTCCTTGAGAAGGACGACCCCAGTCAGGAAGATAGGCAGCCTCCTGTGTTCTTGCAAGGTCTGCCTCCAGGGACAGTGGCATCGGACGGCGATGTGCTGGAACTCCAAGTGCGGCTACAAGGTGAGTTCTGATGATCTGATTAGACAGATGGTGCTTTATAGCTTCTCTGCTCATTAGCCGGTTCTTGTGTGATTATACATGCAGCTAGCTCGAAAGAAGGAATTCGAACAGACCACGATTCTTGTAGATCAAATTCAGTTATGCATTTGTTTACTCATAATTTCCTTTTGTGTAAATTTGCAGCATTCAAAGTCTGTCTCCGTACAAAAGACGTTCAATAATTTCTCGTTGTCTGTGTCTTTCTCTTGTTGCATAAATGCCTGTGTTTCTACAGGAAACATACCCCCCTTTGAAGTTCTGTTAGGTGTATAAGTACGACAAATATCTTTTAACCGAATCAGTTACGTTATTCGTGTCGGGGAATGGCTGTGGTCTATTCCGTGACATTGTTACAGAATTTTCAAAGAAAATAATTCACGAAATTCTGATGATGAATGATTTAGGCTGGAATTCGAGTCTCAGTTCCTCTTCACAGCAAAGCAGAAGCTATGGAAACGTACAGTACAGCAAATTACAACCGAAAACCAACCATGGTTAGCGCACTGGGTCCTTTAAGATGAGGTCCAGAGGTAGGGATAGTGGGAATGTACGGCGTAGATCAAACAAACATCTAAAACACATTCATTTTTCTATTCGACGGTGTGTGAATTATACAATTGAGAAGGCGTTATTACGTAAACGGAAGTGAGGTTAATTTTGAAGAACTTGGTTTTTCGTATGTGAACTGATAGTTGTTCTATTGTGTAGTCCTGTCACGTGATACTTTGTTGATTAGATAGGTGCACTAAGCCCTTATCGGTAAAGTCGTAAGTCGATTCACATGCTAGAGTGTTTCTGTGTGAGCACGCTCAGGTGCCACTGTTCGCGCGTAAGGACAACAAAGTCTACGGCCGCGTTTCCACAACAGTGTTTGAAATATACGGGTAAGTTGATTTGTGGTGCGAGAACTTATCTTAAAGTGCTTAGTCGTCTCCCTTACTTATTCGTGTAATAAGTTTCTTGGGTGGATAAAATTACATATTGATGGACTTAATCATTTAAGCTGTTCACCACATCATGGCTATATTCTGGGTTGTCTGGTAGAAGTTTGCTAACGTCTCAGAGGTCCTTGCTGAATTCATTATCAGGGCGATCACACACCTCTGAAACGTCGGTAAATTTCTACCAGAGTACGCGGCGCTCCGACCCAGAAGACAGCCATCTTCTGTCTCACCGCCGTGAAAACATCAAATCCCACTTCGTCGCCACATATTATTTGGGCGGTAAAATCAGGATGGATGTGATTGGTGGGGCTTGTGAGGCATTTAGGCTTGAACAGAATTGTCCTCGGAAGACACCACCTGGGAAACCTGGGCGTAGACGGGGTGGAAGGATCTTAAATGCATAGGACGTGAAAGTGCCCACTTGCTTGTTGTTATGAACCGTCGGGTTCGATTAAAGGCAGGGATGTACATGCTCTGTTCAGCTACTGTTTGCTTTCTGGATTCAGGGTTGTAGAGGATTTTGTCCTGTAGAATTTTTAACGTCTTCGCACTGAATTGACGAAACACGTACAGTGTGGGGAGTAGACAACAGTGAATTTCGTGCGTGTCTTGATGAATTTATGAATTTTCGATCGGAATTGCAGGTGTAATCATACAGCGGAACTTTAACATTGTAAAACATTACAGTATGAGGATAATTTTTTCTATGATGTAGTTTGTAACAGCGTACTGTCACGGACTGCGAGAAAAATAAATGTGTGGGCAGAAGACGTATTGTCTTCTGATACTATGTCTGCTGTCTTCACATTACTGTCTGTCGATAACATACTAGCAGTTAGTCATGTACGTTAATATATTTGGATAAATACTTGTCAGTTGTACGCATTCTTTGATAAATTTATCTTGTGTCGTTTCATCAGAATTGTACTGAAAACATTTATTCAACAGGTTGTCTCAAATATTTGCGAGGTGTGTGTATTTCGAACCTCTTGGTTCTGTTGGGGGGGAAAAGGTAAAAGCGAGAAAAGGACGCAATTAATAACCGGTACAAAGCGTTTAGAAGGGACCATACACAGATTTACATTTTAGCCCACGACTTTATATTCACCAGCTTTGCGGTTATCTCAGGAATGCATCTCGCGCGCAAAATTGTATCCTTTTCTTTTCCATTCCGAAACTGTTCGTGTGTCTCTCTCTCTCCCGCCGCCGCTGGAATCGACAAATAGCGTGACTGACACTTCCTTCTGTTTCGTAATGGCTCTGCGTTCCTTCCTGTTATCTCGCATCTGTTAATCCAGACGCACGAAGGTCGGACTGACACAGCATTTCACTCATCTTAACGTACCAGGCTTACGGACGTAAATCATGGCGGGTAATTCAAGCTACCTAGGGGTGTGGAAACTAAAGAATATGGCACACACAACAAGAATGCGTTTGAAAGGCGGCTGTAATTTTGCCTGGAGTGTTTCTGTGCTTCTTTTCATTACAACGTACAAACTTCCAATTTTATCTGCTATTTTATACACGTGGCCACAACCGGTATGCCGAGAATTTTTGTAAGGAATTGTATATTGGCATATAGAAGTTAGAGAAAGGTTTTATCTCGCCTTTTGTAACTATAATTAGAATATATATAATCACACACACACTGGTTCATCATCGATAGTTTAATTCAACATGGGTTATGTTTTGTTCTCGTATGCCTGCATTCTTATAGGGCAAAGATTATTTCGTGATGCGAAGTTTTGTGATATACCGTCATGTGTCAGTCAGTATAGTGACTGGCTACGGGCTGGACGACCGGGGTTCGATCCCCGACGGGGGCAGAGAATTTTTCCCTCTAGCCTCTGCGTCCCGACCGGCTCTGGTTAGCTTTTACCGTCATGTGTCCAACAAATTAGGGTGTTCCGCTGGCCAAATAAATGTTTCGGAACACTGTTTTATGCTGATTGAATTCAAATTGTTTGTTTGCTACCGCAAATGTATGCTGTGCTCCACACGTACAACGGCGAATTTTACTGCGTTGCTATTTGGGCGACTAATGACGGACATCATTTGAAAAGCAATACAATTTTTTAAGTTTTCCTTTTTCGAGTTCGTGCTTCAAGTACTTTCCCTCTGGTCTTCGCAGGCTCGCCGCCTCTGGACGTTGTGTGGGTGAAGGACGGCTTGGAGATCCCTGACTGTGAGGATTTCCGGTACGTGGACCGGGGTGACGGTCGCTTCGGTCTGCGCCTGGCCGACGTCTTCCCGCAAGACTCCGGGGAGTATCGTTGTGAGGGGTACAACGAACACGGAGACGCTGTCACTAGAGGCGTCGTTTCCGTCAGAGGTAACTCTGCTCCACTTTGCTTCTGTACTCAGATTTTTCACGGCACTCCGCGAGCAATTGTGGTTTCATGCTTTAAAAAATTGTGACAAGTACAGACGTTCTTCAGAAATTTTTAGCTACTGATATCGCTGCAGTTGATGCGACATCATTAAATAATAAGAAAAATAAGAATATTGGTCCATCTTACATACGTCATAGTAATTTCATTTAACTACTAACAATTATTTACAGGCAACCTACTTCGACTTGACAGCCATCATCAAAATCATTCACAGTGCATTCGATAAAATTAATTTTTCAATGCCATTATGTTGGTTAAAACAAGACGTTCTTTTCGCACATAGACGTACACCATTGTGGCTAATAATTTTTGGGAACTAGAGATCACATTGATTAAAATGCAAAGAAATTATTTATAGTAATAATATTAAAATTTAAGTCTATAATGTCAATTATCTTATGGCTTGTTCGCTGTGAAGTATTTTGGCAGCATACCAACGCTTCAGAGGAACATGTGCTCCAATCATCGGGACATCGTCCTTTGGAATGTTACACCATTCAAGCGTACGAAACGGTTGAGTCCACTAGACTGTCACACAGAAAAAAGGTGGACCTATGTCTGTTCTACCAGACTTCACCTTATTCACGAAAATGTTCCCATTCTAAAATCAGTGCCCCTCCCTTTACCAGGTTCACAAATTGTGACTTCCTCCTACATTTCGAAAATACTCAACTGTAAGGTTTACAATTTCAATAAATGAATACCTTTTGAAATTCCACAGGGATTATCTTGGTCGCAGTGCAAGGGTGGTGGTATATGTTGGGGCGCTGTATCGGTGTTTAAGCATAAACCACATGCGAGTGTTTGTTGTGTGTATGTGTAGAGGGCAGCACGAGTATGCAGTTCAGCAAGAAGCCGACTCCAGTGCTGGCGTCTCCAGGCAGAACAGCCACATTCTGCGCGCGGCTCCAGAGCTCCGACAGTCGCGCCGTCGTCTTCTGGACCGTGGCGGGAAGGCCTCTCGATTCCTCCCGGCACAAGGTCAGTACAACAGAAAATGGGCGAGTGTACGACGATCAGAATTGGTGCAGTTGATTTAGTGTTTCAAAAGCGAGAACACCTGTTCTTTCAGACTTAAGGTAGCTTTAACAGAGCAAATGAACTGTGGTGGCGGTGAAAGATGACAACTCTACCGTTTCAGAGGCTACAGTTCTTAAAAAAATTAATCATAGGACAAATTCAGCAGAAAATCGAGCTGGTTTATAGAAATTAATTAATTAATTTCAAACCAAGGTATCAGAATTTTTGTTATGTGAACTATGCATGATTTAACTTTGGGGATTACAATGCCATCTATGGATACAGTAAACGTCTCAAGCCAGTTCGTGCTTTCGTACTACCAATCTTCCAATACCTTGTGTCGTGAAACCTAGCT